TCCCGCCCTTCCATTCGGCAGAATGCTGGCGTCCGTCGCTACCGACGTACATCCCCCAGCAGACCGCCTCCACTTCCTTTCAGGTAGACCATCCATGCTAGTAATAGGGGGCTCCAAAGAAACCTGGTGCTGCTTATACTCCTCTAACAAAAGGTGAGCACGAACTGCTATTTCATTCTCCGATGCCTTCTTACCATTAAACAGCTGTGCGTTGCGTTATCTCCATAAAGCCCACATCAAAGTGCACCATTCCTCCAAATCCTCATCCCCGACTCGAGTCATCACTTCATTTACCCATTCAAAACAATCTCTCGTTCCCCGAGCATCAAAACAACCCGCCACCGGTGAGGCACGCCACACTCGGGCTGCCCAGCTGCACTCATGGAAAAAGTGAACTTGGGTCTCTAATATATCGCAGAACGGACACTTATCGCTCCATCTATTGCTACGAGTACTCACCCGAACACCCGTGGGAAGGGCATCTCTCATGAAACGCCACATAAACTGCTTGACCTTCGGTGGAGTGCGCATAGCACACATCCTTTTCCATGCAGTCCCATTCCCATGCACCACAAGCCCCCTGCTCCTGAGAGAACTCCTTATGCCATCTATTATAGCCGTTCTTCACACTATAATCCACATTCTTGCTATCATGCCAAATCACACGATCAGGTTCATGTATATCTCTTAAGGGAATTTGCAGAATGGCGGTCGCCACCTCCATAGAGAAACAGCTCGCTACCAAGTCGGCATCCCTATTGCTAACCCTATATATATTAATATATATAAATGTGAAGTAAGGCAACTGTTGCCCAAAAAGTTGTAAAACCTGGCCCCCATTAATTTTTGTGTGATTCCTAAATTACCCCTCATCGGTTATGAATAATCATATTAACCCTAAGCTAAACCCTAGATCGGTTACGGAGAAGTACATATATTTACAATGAAGCAGCCGCCTCCCAATCCCTAGCGACAAGAAACCAAAACCCACCGCTGCCGCCAAGTAAAAAAAATCAAGGAAGGAGAGATGAGGTTTGCGAGGCTATTGGAAGAGCTAGAATGTTATGGGCAGTTCTCTTTCGAAGGTCAACGGTAAGGCGCACAATGAGGACCATGTAGGAGGGAATTTGATCAAGCGATATACAACGCGGCCGGCGATGGTGGTTGATGGTAACACGTAACAGGGCAAGATGCGGTAAAGAACTTGCGATGGACAAGGTAACAGTCTTGATGGCGGGCATGTTTTGAGTCATTGGCGGCAAATAAACCCCGGGAAAACGAATGTTCGAGATACAACGTCGTGGTTCAGCGATAACGTAACATGACTAGTTCCCGGGGCGTTGGATTCCATTTCTCAAGCGCGGTGGAACAAGAAGTCATGAAATGGAGTATCATTTGACAAAGAGAGGGTTAGCGCTAGCAGCCCGTAGAACAACAAAGAAGAATATATGGTGAGTACCTTTTCCAGTTTTCGTTCCGTAACCATTATTTTGGGTTGTAGTGATTATCTTTCTTTAACGCGGTCATAGTTGACTCACGGGAATAATTAAGTGGTGCCTAGAATGGGGAATGGAATCTAGGTGGAGCTAGTGATCAACAATGGCCACATGAACTAGCGGGGAAACCACGAGGGTGAACCAATGATTAGGAGTGGATCCTTGTGGAACGTTTTTCATGGCATTAGGACACGTAGCTCTTGTGATGGTGGGGTTGTGTCCTAGAAGTCGTGGGATGATCAAGTGAAGGGAAATTGATCCCTGCAGTTGATTCAATTCAATCCGCTTCGATGTAAGGTGAGTGTAAAGGAGGTAAATTCTACGCCTTACGTGTTCTTTCAAGTATTACGAGCTTTATGTATTTTGATGAAGTGATTTTCGTTGTTTGATTGTGCTTATGGTTGATGATATGTGATTTTGTTTTAGCTATGTTTGAAGTGAATGTGCATGAGTTATTATTTACTTTAAAGCTTTACGTTTATAAGTTATGGTTAAAGTTTAAGAAACAAGTTCTTTTTAAGAAGTAACTCACCTTCAAGAAGGTGAAGTTGCTTTAAGTGTTTTAGTCACTAGCGCCAGTCCGTTGCCTTTTGAGACATTTTGAGATAGAGCAGCAGTTATGCTCTGAGACTTTTAAGATGAGCAACAGTTATGCTCTTGAGAATCGTGGTGAAGAGCCATCACGATAAGTTTAAGATGTTAGGGGGATGAATCATTACGACTCCCCTAACTAAGTTTAAGTTTAAGGAAAGCCTGGATGGCTTCTCATACGTATGAGTTGGCAACCGGACTAGCTAGTGAGGGATCCCCGTGTCGGTCAAGTATTTAAGTCAAGATTTGAGATTTAAGAGAGGAGAGTAACTTCAACTCCCTCATAGTTTAAGAGTTAAGATTTTAAGATTGGAAGTACAAACAACTTCCACTAGTCAAAGTTAAGTGTTTAAGTAAAGTACTCAAGTATTAGAATTATTAAAACGTAAGGGCGTAGACTGACCCAATCTCACTCACCAGGGCTGAGTAAAGGAATAAGCAAGAATAGATCGATAGTTGCAGCTAGAGGAGTAGTTAGTGAGCAGCGAGATCGAGAAAGTTGTTCGAGGCAAGCCAGCTAGAGGAGGATAGTACAAGCGTCACTGGAGGTGCCAGAGATTGAATCCGAGCAGACAACAAAGTAGATTTTTAGTTATTGATTTACGATTATGAGTAGTGACTAGATATTCAGATTAAGATTCTATGGTTGAGGTTTACCCCAAGTGTTAGGGCTTTGTTTTAAAAGATTTCAGTTCACTGCAGTATTTGTTATGGTTATTTATGGAAAGCTTCCATTTTTTTTTTACTAGTCTTTCGTTTCTTATTTTGGTATATGAGTCATCAAGGGCATTTTGGTAAAATTAGAACCCGGCCGGGTTAGGGTGTTTCAAAAGTTATATTTTGATACCCCAAATTTAATTAAATCACAACTTAGTCATTATAATGTATATTTAATATTTTGATACCCCAAATTTAAATTTAATGTAAAATCATTGAACAATTATGCTTTGGTATCTAAATTTTATGAGATTTCGTACCTATAATTGTTTATATTTACATATTGGTCCAATGTTTAGATTTCACTTGAATCCAATCCACCAATCCTTTTGAACCAATCCATGAATTCAATCCACCATAACATAAAAGTGTAAATTTAGTTTGTATAATACAAGATGTTGTATCACTTAACTGTAGGAGAAGATTCGACCATTTCATATTTGCTATTATGTGAAACATTAAATAAATGATAAAAGAGAGACGACTCTAAAATATTGCAAGAGCGAATTTATAAACTCATTTTGTACATTTACAGGGTAGTAAACAAACTTCTACTAACTACATGCAACAAAATATGCGACATCTACATAAGCAATTGTCAATAAATTTCACGGTGAAAAGGCTTGACTGTTGTATTGACGGCTAACTAAAAAAAATGGTCAAAACCTTTCCACTATCTACTTCCTCTCCATTTCATTTTTCACTCGTCTTCCATAACCCTTTCTTTATTTCTTTGTTTGCCTTCTTCGTCTAACCCTAATTAGTATATTATTTTTTATGTATTCTATTTACAAGTATGAACGGGTCCATACACGACTCACCAAAAGTTTAGAGAATTAATAATTGAACCATGAACCATTAACTTTTTCAACTCAATGTCGAGTTCAATTAAAAATAAATATATATGGTTATTACATATTAGAAAGTCATCATCTTCGACTATGGGATTTGAAGACGTGAAATTTTAAGCGAGTTCCAGTTTGTATTCCTTTTGCTTCTCTCTAGAGTTTTTCTTTTTCACTCAGGCTAGAATTTTCAACAATTATACATGGAATGTTGGGCTATGTATCTACACATATTAAATAAGCAGTTTCTATTTTTCTATAAAAATAGTAAATAATTATCATCTTAAATACATCACCATAGAAGGAATTAAGCGTCAACTATGTAAATTATAGTTTGGTACCTAAACTTAATAGATATTTAGATTTATAACCTAAATTTACTTTTTTGGCATATAAATCCTCAAAATATTGGTAGAACATTACATTTTAGTAACTAAAATTTTTGTGTATTACATTTTGGTACCTAAACTTTTGAAGTTCTACAAATAGGTCTAATATGTGTATGTGGAATTAAAACATTCTCAAATAAATGAGTATTCATACCCAACTTATACACATTTAGATTACATAAGTAAATATCAATACCCTACCAAAACCCATCTACAAACTTCCAAATCCATATATATATCACACATACCCTACCCATAATCAATGGGTCTACTTGGGTTTAGCTAAATATCATTTACTATCCAAAATTTTCAAAATATTTTAAATTGGATGTTGACCGTCATATATCTCTTCTCAGTCAATATCATAATTTAAAGTCAATATTACTAATACAACTGCTAACAGAAAATTAATTTTAGACTAATAATACTAACTATAAGGGGCCACATAATATATGGTCATATACCATCTCCGCCCGCGACAAGGCGCGGCATCGCCGCCGTATATAAATTACATATCAAGTCAAATTCTATTCAGATATTTTCTCTAAATTGTTACCGCACACATTTTTTATTCTCCTCTTCTCATACTGAATTTTTTGAGTGTTAGTGAGAGAAAAAAGTTCAAGGAAATGAAATTTTATAAAACCACCAACCAGAATACCAGACTAAGATACTTGATAGTTGAGAAATGGATAAGTATGGAATTTGCTTCAGTGACAAGAAAGACGTGCTCATTATTATTAATTTTCTTTTTTTATCATTCCGCAAAGGCAAAATACACTTGTATAGCCAAAACTTTGACGGTTTGGCCAAATATAGCCACTTTTGACGAAATACCAAAAATAGCCACTTCCGTCCAATTGTTTGACGGTGTTAGTTAACGTCATGACTGGACTAACAGATCGTCCAACGTGGCGATTTTTGACCTGTACGTATTTCCTACGTGGATTTAATAATAAAAAACAATAATTAAAATTTTATATTTTCAAATAGTTGGTCTTTTGATTTATGGAAAATAAAAACAAATACTATACATAAAATAAAAAAGCTTCTCTCCTTCCAACCTACCCACTCTCCTGATTTCCCTCCGCCCTTTCTCCACATCATCACCGGCAAACAACCAGGGCATTTTACATCCCCACAGCGCCATTTTCACACTACCACTGAAGCACTCATTCCGGAAAAATCAGATGGTCACCGACGGTATAGTTGTTGCTACCCCTTTACTCGAAGACCACGACACCCTTTACTCGAAGACCACGACATCGTTCCTGGCTCCGTTGACCACCGCGGCCGCGGGATCCACAATCGCTCCCCTCTTTCAGCGGATGGAGATCTTCGGCTTTCATAATCGATAGAAGATTTCCCTTTTTATTGTTTCTCCTCTGCGTTTTCTGATTTTGGAACGATTTAGATGCCAATACTCCGCTGCACCACCGACCTCGTCCCTTCAGTTTAGGGGTTTTGGATGAACTAGAGAACTCGATTTGGGGTTCTTCTTCCGCCTCAATCCAATGAATCCATCCGTCTCTTCCAAATGAAAAACCCAGAACAAGCAAAAACAACCCAGAATCGCAGCTCCACTGTCGATCGATGGTCATGGTGGCGATGGTGACGATGGCAAGGATTTGGGGATTAGGGATTTGGTGGCGATGGTGATGACAACACCCACATCCTTCCTTCTGGGTGTTGAAATTTGACCCAAATCGACTAAATACAGGATCCTACCACTTGGGAAAGATGTCGCCGGTCGTCGATGCGGGTGGATATCCCCCGCCGTCGCCTTCTCTATCTTCTTCTCCGGCGGTCCTGATAGGCTGCACTTGAGATATCCGGCAGAGAACGATGGAGAGCGAGAAGCTCGAAGAGGAAGAGGAAGATAAATATTGATTGGTTATTTGATCTAGAGTAGGGATTTGGGGGAGAGAATTTGGGGAGGAATTGAAAAAAATAATTGAGAAGAAGGGGGTGCTCTGCTGGCTGCGTAGAGAGAAGAGAGGGACGTGGGATAATTTTTTTTTTTTTTAGTTTTCTTAAATAAATAAAAATTAGTTCAGATAAAAAAGATTATTTGAAAACAAATATTTTTTTCATTTATCCACATGGAATTGTTGAAAGATAAATCAAAATGATGTGGCAATGATATTGATGACTTGTCGCTGACGTGTGTGATGATTTGGCATCCTAGTCAGTTTAACGTTAACTTAACTGACGGAGTTTCTAACACCGTTAAAGTTTGTAACGGAAATGGCTATATTTGTCAGGAAACTTTCAAATTTCTGGCTATTATTGGTATTTCCCCAAAAGTGGCTATTATTGTCACAAACATCAAAGTTTTGGCTATACAAATGAATTTTGCCTTCCGCAAAGGACTAGCCAGCTTCTAATTATAATTCTGATTTCGTACGTACAACCACATCTAGCTAGACCAGCATCGCCAGCCATATCAACGCTTCAATTATCTGCCTCCTTATTAGAACCGAATTGAATTCATTCTTGATCCGGTCCATTAAAAGTGTCAATATGACTGTATTAGCGGGTCAATTTCATTTGTTTAACGATAAAAAAATATATTGATCATATGGTTTTAAACAGTTTGTCATTGAATCATACGAATCAATTTGATCTATGCTGTTCACTTGTGTCAGGTGATTAGCCGGCAAACCCTGCTTAACTTCACCTAATAAAGTAGGGCGAAGTAGAAGTAGTAGTGGGATTGAGATTGAGTGCGCTGGCCATCTTTCTTGTGCCAATGGTTAACTGTTCATAGGGCAGTCTTTTGAGGCAAAAGTTGGACACTAGTGAATGTGTGAGAGATTGATATGTGTGATCATATTGTATTTCGTATTTGAATTTTGATATAATTGTGATTTAATCATTTTATATTGATAAAATTTGATTTTTGATAAACAATTTTTCAGTCCAATCGTCAGTACAATATGATTATAAGACTGGAATGAATTACCAATTAGTGCGAACTGTGAAGCGCAATCTATATATTATTTTTTTTAATGGGCACCTACATATATTATGCTAGCTAGGCTAAGATAGGTTCTGTGCTCACATGATGGTTCATCTTTTTTAGGGTTGCCAATGACTTAAGCGAGGGATGAGTTAGAATTAGTCGTGCGTTGAGTTGCAACTAATCAGAGTTAACAAAATAAACTCATACGATTATGATTCGATGAACGGAGTTTAGGGATTCTCAAAATGGACCATGGTGAAAGAGTGCCATTATATTTAATACTATGATTCTTTTTCAGTAGTCCTAATTGGGGAGCCGAATTGATTGTCAATGTGGTACATAATCTTTTCGAAGAAAATGCCGCATGTGATCAATAAATTCATTCAAATTCATCAATTTTCTTTTGTTCGACAGGATATGCAAAAATGATATGAAATTGGCGGAGTCTCTTTTTACCAACTCACATGATTTGTCTTTGTTTAGAATTGAGATATGAATTGAGGGACTTGCTAACAGGCTATATAATCCGTCACTTGTTGGGAGATTTTATGTAGTTCGTTTGAATAAGAGGATAGTAATTTGATATTCGAAATTCGAAATTTAAAATTTAGAATACCAAATTATTTTTGTCTCTTCGGTAGAAGTGGCATGAGGATTTGCCCAAATACATGAGGTGAAATTCAAATGCAATATTTATTGTATTACTTGTAAATTTCAAATACATATCTACATAGTATCATATGAGGTTTATTTGAATAATTTAATAATTTAGGTACATTATACGAAGAAAAAAGAGTATATGGTACTAAATAGTAATTTTACCACAAAACTTTGAGGCCTATTTTTTTATTTATTATTTTTTAGATACTGATAGTAGGAAAAATGAAATACAGGTACTGAATTTAAATTTCCAAGCTCACTGAACAACTCCAAATTATATAAAAGTGATCATAAAATATTAAATAAATAGAAGTTACGAATGAGTAACATTTGAAATACAAGTATTTGAAATAAAAATTTTAAAGGTTTAGTACTCTGTTTGGCTCGAAGTTTAGCGTTAGTGACAGTTCTGATTTAATTTTTCAAATAAGACATTTATGGCTTACTTTTGAAATTATTAGACAAATTTAGCCTATGAGACGGGTTGACTGTCAGAATTGACGGTCAACCATTTTCTTCGTCACTGACTCATCATTCGACGCTGACTCAACTTGTCCACGTCATTTACTAAATTAAAAAAAAAAAAAAAAAGGGGAGACACGAGGACTACCACAACCCTTTCCCTTTCCTTATCTCCTTTCTTCCTCGTGCGAGACCCAACCTCCGACATACCACGGCGGCAACTAACCACGGCGAGAAAGGGGGGACGACATTGTTCAAATCTAGCGAAGCGGGTCTCCTTCTGTCGCCCTTCTTCGTGACAACTTCATATCTGAATATCCGATCTTGACACTCTGCCGCAAGGAAACAAAAAGCCCTAAATATGAGAGAACCACAAATGCAAGCAAAATGAAAAATAAAACCTTAAAGGAAAGAGGAGGAGCTCCTAGTTTAATCCAACAAGTGACTCTCGGCTTTGCAGAAATAATAGTTGTGCTGCAATTGTGGTTATTGTCCTTTTGTTGAGCTGCTGCTGCATTTGATTGGAAAAGGAAATCAAGAAACAGTAGCTCAAAAGATCAAACATGTGACGTGCATTTTCGAATTCACACAAAAAGGAAATAAAAAGTCCCCCCAACATCTATCTTTGTCTGTTTTCGTTTGGTTGCTCCCTTGCTTGGATCTGGATCTCGCCGGTGATCTGGACCACTCCAGCTATCCAGTTTTCCTTCGAGCTCACCTTCTCCTCCACCGCTGTTGCTCACTGCCAAATGCTGCATCGGAGAAAACACATTCAAGCTCTAGGAAACGAGTAGGTAGGGAGATCGATTGAGTTAGTTAATTAATCACCAGTCGGAGGCGGGGGAGTCGCTGTCATGAGCGTCGGAGGAGGCTGGGGTCTCGCACGAGGAAGACGAGGGAAAGGGGATAAGAAAAGGGAAAGGGCTGGTGGTCCTCGTGTCTCCCCTTTCCTTTTTTTTATTTAGTAAATGACGTGTACAAGCTGAGTCCGCGTCGAATGCTCAGTAAGTGACGGAGAAAATGGTTGACCGTCAATTATGACAGTCAACCCGTCTCATAGGTTAAATTTGTCCAATAATTTCAAAAGTAGGCATAAATGTCTTATTTGAAAAATGAGGCCAGAAGTGTCACTAATGCTCAACTTCGGACCAAACTAGGGTATTAACCCAAATTTTAAATACATACTTTTTATATGTGCATGTAAAACAGCCACACATGATAAATTATTCAACCACCCATGCTTGAATTCTCTAATTGTTAAAAGTGATGCATTGTGAATTATCAATTAATATGTTATATTATATAATTATTTATGAATATAACGTATTATAGATTACAACGTTTAATGTATATGATCGTGTTTTCAATAATTAAAATGAAATATACTTTTCAATATAAATGTCACTTGTATGATGTATACTATAGGTACATTTTATCTTATCATATGTTCGTTCATTTATGTTATTTAGACCTTGCATTAGTCCAAGTTTGGGCATGATATTATACCTTAACCTCTAATGGGTTAATCTCAGTCCCCAATTCTCTAACCCAAACCATTAAACTCTTTTATCTTAAAATGAAAATCAACGATTCTGATTAATCAAAATTATCCAAATACAAATAATAGGTAAGAGCACAGACATATAGCGTACGACCATTTGTCCTTGCATGTAAAATGCATCCTCTTTTTAAATACACAAAGTACTTCTAAAGAATAAACTGAAACAAAAAGAGAATAGTCTCAACTAAATAATCCTGTCCGCTGGGATTATACAACCATTTATTTTGAATGGTTGATTTTATTGTATCAAGCAAACAATTTATATATTATGTGCGCATGAAATTAAAAAAAAATCATTAAAACAGATTTAAAAGCCAAACGAGCACATATTTTAAGTTTCGGTAATAAATGGTTGATTTTATTGTATCAAGCAAACAATTTATATATTATGTGCGCATGAAATTAAAAAAAAATCATTAAAACAGATTCAAAAGCCAAACGAGCCCATATTTTAAGTTTCGGTATCTAATCTAATGTAAATCTAAAATTACCTATAAGTCCAGAACCCCATCCATTTCAACGTCCCTGGCTTCTCCGCAGAGAACAGAAGGATCTTTAGGTCGAAACACAATTTTAAATCACAAGTAGAATGGAGTGACCCAACTTCTTAATTTTTTTAATTTACATGGGACATATACAAGTAGAAAAATGCTTTAAGTTAGCCGGTTCGAGGAAGGATGCGGATTGGAAGCAATCTATACTTATTGTTATAAATATTCCTTTATTATTTACTATAATTATTAGCCAAACATATTCTGTATTCTAAAATATTAGTAAAATTTATCGAAATACAAATAATTAGCTAAACGTCAATTCTCCGTTAATAGTTCCTTTAGTAATATTGACTAAGCATCACGATGTTGAGTTGGCTCCCCACGTGGCGTTCAACATACCATCATTTTTATTTTTTATTTTAAAAAAATTAAAGATAAATAAAATTTATTCGACAAACCTTTCAAGTTATTAGCCAAACTTTTCAAAATACAAAATATTGGCCAATTATTTTGTAAAGTATCAAAATATTAATCATTTTCTGTTATGGTTAATAATTTTTTTAACTCTTTTCTTAATTAAAATACTAAAGTTTTGAAAAGTTTACTGTCATGTGTCTTTTTCAAGTCAGTATCATGTTGCCAAGTCAATATTACTAACACCTATAGGTAGTTTTAGACAGGTTTCTTCCCCAAGAGCTCACATAGATGGGAAGGTTTGGCACCTCGATGTTGGCTCTTCGCCACCTGGGGTTGTAGTATGTTCCAAGAGGGTTGTTCGCCCATTAAAGCAAGAGCCACTACTCTTCGGGGTGGTGAGGTGGACAATTCCTTACGGAAGCTTCGAGGAGCATCTTTGAAAATTCTTTAGTTCAAAATTTTGGGTAAAAAAGAAAGTAGGATTCCAGATTATTCATAATTAAATCTCAAAAACTCGAGATTGCGACCGATACCTGAAATCACGAATGAGAGATTGCTTTCCCAAGAATTGGGGAGGGAAGTAATTGGTTTTTTTTCTAAACGGAGCCTTGATACTTCATTTTATTGGTCTAA